GAGAAACGCAACCTATTATTGTTAATCCTTATTTCCACCTTAACCTTCTCAATCGGATTTCATTTTTGTAAACCCACTATTCTAATAGTCCTTTGATTAATGGTCACATATATTATCGTAATGTTATATCTATTAGTTCATATAACTTACTGGCTCAATCGATAATAAAAGTTGATCATCTATATCAACTAATTAGCTTTGATGGTTCGTTAACAAGCTTTAATAGCATTTACCTGCTTCAGCGACATAGACTTGTTTAAACATCAAGCTCTAGCAAATATGACCTGTAAATAGCGTAAATATACATTGACTAACAATGCAACCAAGGATTGAATAGTTATCTGGATCTAATTCTGTGTTCCTTCGCTTAATACCTCATCCTGTTTTAAACTACGCACTATCCTGTAATATCTTTTCTTCCGACCACTGCCTGCCTAATTTCATATTTTCGAGTTCCATTGCCAAACAACAAGAATGACACTTCTCCAAAAAAATACATTCATTTTAGATGGCTCATTCAGTGACACACAATTATCTGGATTCATTCAGTTGTTCTGATCAGAGCGAGTCCCAAAAACCTCAACAGCATCAAGCACCCTGGAAGTGATTGCCATACTGCATGTTTTATTCTGGATGCTTTTGGATCATTACTACTCACGAATGGCGTTATATATGTCGTCCACTGAATAATCCAATTTTCAAAAATAATCCAGGCGAGTTCAACCATTTTACTGGATGATTTTTTTTGTACCTAACATGTATATGTTTTCCAGTTGCTTTTGCCACATATTTGTAAGTGTCCCTAGGCTAAATGCAGTAACTTCTTATGGAATGTTTATAACGCGTTACATTCCTGTCTGAAGTTTCATAAGCAGTCTTGACTTTAAAATTACTTTTCCTGGTCATGTTCATTATTTTTAAATTTTTATATACGTCAACAACCTGCATGTTAACCTGGCCCGTACATACGTTACACTATATCTTCATATCTTTTGAATTTAGAAATCATCTGAATCGCCTTTAACATTTATCAATAAACCCATCATAGTCGTTGTTGCTAATCGTATTTGGGTTTATGGATTGGTTTATCATATTAGCAGCCTAAAATGCGAACATAGTTTAGATAATAAGATTAAAAATTTAGATACTATCAACTGCACTAGTAAAATAACTAAATCCCCAGGTAGCTGTTGGCTAAACAAACGTTTAAAATCAAAACTCCGTAGCCTACTAGAATTAACACTAAACGAATATTTCTGAATTGAAATTTATAATTAAATTAGGCGTCTCGGATTCTTTAACGTTATAAGTTTCTGATGATTTCGAATCACCTAAAGCAACAATACCTATTTTTCCACTGACTAATCCTCAGTCAACACTATAACTAGTTAAATTTAATAGTTTCAGGATATCGTCATAAAGCATTGTCATAAATTGACAATCACGTAATATGATTGATAATATTAATGAAACTAATAACATAACCGGTCATCAAATCGACTTATAATTATCACTAGTGTTGTTTTTCTTTTATCTTCATTAACTACAGATGATTACAGTATGTTTCTCTACCAGTTGCTCATTCAGTAAATATCTCGAAACCTTGTCAGTCTAATTGATGGTTTAGCGACACAATAATGCATGCAAATAATCAATATAAGCAGTCGAGCAAATCTCCTGCAAACTGAAAACATTAATGTCGAATTTACCCCAACACTGACTAAGGTTCAAGCCATTATCATAGACATGAGTTGGGAGTGTACTCCCCTTGGTTACAACTTGTGTTCTTCCTGATAATCACATGAGCATCTCTCACTGTTAATCATCTTGTAAAAGCTTATTTAGCCGAATACATCCTGCAGCACCACATCACCTAGTAATATGACACAGGCCTAACTGATTTCAATAACTTATAACCACTATATCTCAATTGAATCGTATTCCGCCTTATGATAAACTGCATACTTGCAACTAACTTGTATGCATCATCAGCCGTCAGGTATAAATATGTATAAATAGTCTATGGCAACTCAGAACATTGAGTCTAGAGCATGTCTCTTACGAATACACTCATGTTTAACGATTTGTTCCTAGCTATCTGTCCAAAATTCATATAATCATCACTCACGTATTTAAATTTTGTTTTGATGAACATTCATGTGTATTAGTAGTATTACTAAATTCTATCACGGTCAAGTAAAAATGAGGTTGAGAAAATCTCCCCGTAACTAAATAAACCGTGTCAAACTAACTGGAACACTAGTTGGAATTCTTCTACACGGTATACTTTCGTTCCTTCAGTTAGCCTACTAATACAGATGCAATTGGAATTCAACTCATATGGACAACTTACCGGCATAATCGTTATTTGATTTCATAATTTAGACCAAAACTAATACCAATATTAACATTTCTACAATATTCATTACTTTAATATTTCTAAACACAAAATACTTACTACCTATACGTTAAGTTATTAACCAACGGCTATTAACACGCATTGTTTTATTATTATTACTGTAATCCTATTTTTTTTATAGCTCAAATAATCTTCACCCAAATTGTCATTTTAAGCGTGTCAAGCATGAAGGCAGATTTTTTTTTAAAAATTATTACATGTATTCCCGACCAGATGCTGCCGCCTTCTTTTTGATTTATCTTTCAGCTTATCATTACCCGGAGAATTCTACCTATTCTTGGTAACCCCCGGCGCGCGACGATCCCATCCAGTTTGGTGTCGAACCAACATCACGTTGATTCTGGTGGGAGAGTAGTGTAGTGGCATTGGACAATAGCCACACAATCCACAAAGCTGTGAACACGAGACTACACAGAAAATAGATATTCAATATTTAACGCGGAGAAATACCTAACAATGGAGAAGGCGCGGAGAATGAATTGAATGGACTGGAGTTGATCGAGTGGCATGGCTCGTCCATGCAGGCGTGGTCCATCTCAGTGTTACTTTATATCTTCTATTCATATTAAATATATTGTTCTTTCTCTAGCCTAACCTTGTTCCTCATCATGTATTGGTAATTGATACGATACAGTGAGTTGGTGTAGTCGATGGTGTGACTTCCACGTAAGACCTTATAGATTAGGCAGTTATATCATGACAAATCGACAAGTTTAGGATTAGGTTTATTATTAGAGCAGTACTAATATCATAGTAGACCATAATTCTACAGATATCCCACAGAGTTAACCAGTTTCATTTTGGGGGAGGACAGGATGTTAGATGGCCTGTATTAGTCCTGGCAATGATGGTCCCTCAGTTGGTCCAAATTTCTTTCGCGGTGGTCGACAGGTGGAGCTCCAATTGTGTGCTGAGGTAATGAATTCCGCCCGTTGATAATTCGGTGGGAAAGTCGATAGTTAGCTAACCAATAATTTGTTTTGCGCTTATGAACTTTTATGGAGTGTCCTGGTAAATTCTCTGTTTTAGGAGACAAAAATGAGGCATATCATGTGCAAATTTATCACTAAGTAATTTGAAAGTTGTAATCAAGTCACCCTTGGTTTTACTATATGACAACGGGAATAGGTTTAGTTTGGCCAGTCGATCATCATACAGGAGCTTCGCTTTTCAGGGAATCAGCTAAGTTGCTGTTCCCTGGATCCTTCCCAAAAGCTCACTGTTTTTTATAAATAGGGGCTAGCCCCCTGTATGAGGTACTCAAGTTTAGAACGCGCAAATACCGTATAAAAACTCAAAAAAGTTTTAGCGTCGACACGATTTAAGGCCCTACGTATTGACCATAGGGTTTTGAAACATTTGGTTGTTATTGCACGGCAACGTGCAGTAGTTTTTAGGACTTGGCTAACGATGACCACTACGTCATTGTAGCCTAATGTTTTCCATCATGTATGTATCGCAACTTGATGACCGATATGCATCACAGTAAACTTGGAAGTATTAATCGGCAACTGCCAGGTTTGAGACCAATCAGATAATTTCTCCAGGTCATTTTGATGTTCTTAGCTATCACTCTCACTTCGTATTGCTCTCCATATCTTGACATCGTCAGCATATAGCAAGACTGATGATGATATTAGATGAAGGAGGCCATCCACACAGAAGAGGAATAAAACCGGCTCCAAAACTGCACCCTGAGGCACTCTGCTAAGCACAGTTTCCCAGCTAGACAACTTGGGTTTATCCGTACTCTTTGTTGGTGCCCAACTAGGAAGTCTTGTCCATATTAATAGATTACCTTCAACCCCGACATTTCTTAACTCACATAACAGCCGGTTGTGCGGAACTTGGTCAAAAGCTTTTCTGAAGTTAATGCAGGCTACGTCTATAGGTAACTCTTAGTCCTTAAGGACGCACCAGCTTTCACGAGTCACCAACAAGTTAGTGAGACAGGAATTACGTATTCTAAAACCATGCTGTTCCTCCGATAGGATCCGGCTTTCATCGAAGGTATTTAAACAACCCCTTAACTAAAATTTTAACAAAAACGCTCGTTAGCCTAGCGGGTCGGTAGTTCTCAGGTTTGTTTCCTTCCAGTACTAATGGCAGAACTTACTATGGCGTTGAAGATGCCACCGGTATTCAGAGTTTGACAACACTTTAACCAGTAGCACCTTCTAGTATGAAGCGTACCCACCATACGAAATCAAAAGACAGAAGCGAGGAAGTTCGAAGATATATTTGATATGCTATCAATATGTTGAGAATCGTCTGATCTAATCTGGCTGGTGATTGCAGGGGTTGTTGAGCACGGCGTTCCCACTCGTGATCTGGTGCGGATGCATGGTCGAGCGCTTTCAGCTAGGCGAGTCCATTAAAACATGTGGTCAGCATCCAATGTCGAAAACTTACAGAGCTATTTATTTTAGGGATTTATTTACCGCTACAGCGTTCTTAGTTAGGTTTATGTCACAGTATCTCACTGTCAGTGCAGTTTTTACAATCGCTTTCAAAAATGATATCGCGTTCATGTTATACACCAGGTCAGATCATTCCAAGACGTTTGTAGTCGTTGTAGAGTAATTATAAGGAGCGCTTAGTATGAGCTGTGACCATGAAGAACGCGGGTAGCGCTTCAGGGGTAATAGTATCACTTATTTTGCGATACTTTTTTATTTCTGCTTTGTGAACAGCCCAAAATCGAAATTAATTATAAGTAAATTTGAAGGTTTGTTCTCCGTCTTTACAATTAAGTGAAAAAGGGAACGCGTAAGTTAAATTTGTTACAGGCGTAAAATGCTCCGGAGAAACCATAATTTATTAAGCTACATTGAGCATGTGGGGAACTCCGAATTGGTCCATAAAGCAACTTAGGAAAGATATAAATTGGGGAAGCGTTTGACCCAGCCGGATGTCTTACTAACGGCTGTTACTCCTAATGGAGCATAGGCCACCGACCAGCATCCGACAACCCACTCTGTCCTGGGCCTTCCTTTCTAGTTCTATCCAATTTTTGTTCATTTTTCTCATGTCTGTCACCATTTATCGACGTAATGTGTTCTTTGGTCTTTTTCTTCTTTGGCCTTGAGGATCCCATGTGAGGACTTGCCTTGTGACATGGTTGAGTGCTTTCCTCCATGTGTGTCCTATCCACTTACAGCGCCTCTTCCTGATTTCTCCCTCCTCTGGAATCTGGCTTGTTTTCTCCCACAGTAGTTTGTTGCTGATAGTGTCTGACCAACGGATCTGAAGTATTTTGCATAGACAACTGTTAATAAACACTTGTATCTTCTGGATGATGTCTTTCGCAGTTCTCCAGGTTTCCGCCCCATACAGTAGAACTATCTTGACATTTGTATTGAAAATTGTAACTTTGGTGTTGGTTGACAGTTGTTTTGAGTTCCAGATATTCTTCAGTTGTAGATATGCTGCTCTTGCTTTGCCGATCCGCGCCTTCACATCTGCATCAGATCCACTGTGTTCATCAATGATGCTGCCCAAATACGTAAAGGTTTTTAAATCTCCCAAAACTTCGTCAAGTGTTATTCGATTGTTTCATGCTGTGTTCTATCGGATAATCTTGCTTTTCCCTTTGCGTATGTTGAGACCTACTACTGCTGAGACTGCTGCTACACTGGTCGTCTTCTGCAATTTTTTTGCGTTTGCGATAGAAGAGCCAGATCATCTGCGAAGTCTAGATCGTCCACCTGCATCCTAGATGTCCAATGTATCCCGTGCTTCTCCCCAGGTGTTGACATCATGATCCAGTCGATCACCGGGAGAAAGAGTGAGAGTAAGCAACCTTGCCTGACACCGGTCTTCACCTCGAACGAGTTTGTCAACTGTCCTCCATACACGATTTTGCAGTTTAATCCATCAAAGGAATTCTGTATAATACTGACTATCTTCTGAGGCACGCCATAGTGTCGAAGAAGCCTCCATAGTGTTGTCCTGTTCACGCTATCAAATGCTTTCTCGTAGTCAATGAAGTCTGTGTAGAGTGATGAATTCCATTCAATTGACTGTTCCACAATGATCCGTAGAGTTGCGATTCAGTCTGTACACGATCGATCCTTACGAAATCCAGCTTGCCGGTCTCGGAACCGGATGTCTACTAGCAACCTATTCCAGAGGCTTGCATATCGTGTTACAAAGGAAGTTGACTTCAGTGTGCTTGATGTTCTCGATATCCCACTGTTGATTTGTGTGACGGCCACAATTGATTTCTTCGATCGTTGGTGGAATGACATCTATAGGAAGGTCTGTATATACTGTTTCGATAACCGGTGAATTCAGTGGAGCTGGTCTATTCAAGAGTTCCTCGAAGCGTTCTACCCATATGTTCCCCTGTTCTTGAATCTCGGTGATTGGCTAGTCTTCTTCGTCCTTGACCGGTCTCTTTGGTTTACTATATTCCCCTACCAGTTTCTTCGTCGTGTGATATAGTTGTTTCATATTTCCTCTTGTAGAACTGATCTTTATCATCGTTATTACTATCATTGGTGGGTACATTACATTGGATAACATTCATTGTAATTCCCTCCTTTGTTTTGAAGGATGCTTTGATGTTCCAGGATCCATGAGATTGCCATCCTACAAGTGCATTACGTGCTTGTTCCGACAGCATCAGGGCAACTTCGTGAGTGTGTGGAGCATTTTCTTGTTCGTGACCAGAGTACGTGAGCATCTTTCCCAAATCTAATGTTTTCTGTCCAGTTTGGGTCCAATAAGTTTCATTGATTCCGAGAACTGCCAATTTGTATCATTTCCGTTGCTATTTAATTGGTCCTCCCGGTCTCCCACATTGTCTGGACATTCCGTATACCTATAACGAATGTTGCTCTGGTTGTTAGAAGGGGCATCGACCTTGTGACTTCCGAAGAATTTCGGCTTTCATGATGAGGCGTGATAATGAAGATGCTTGAACTCGGAGAACAGAGTTTAAATTGTTTATTCTGGTTAGTATTTGTTTTCAGCTAGGTTGTTTTCTACGGGATAGGGTTGCCGACCCCACTCCCAACCCTCTTCGTTTGTGTTGGCTTGGGAACGGCAGTAGCCCTAGAAGAGGTATAGGCGGAGTTTTAGTTTCCACACCTGACATCTAATTCTTCTGGGATTGTTTTGTTTTGAAGTAATTGGACTCTGACCAATATCATGAACTCTAATGTATGCACGATTGACGACTTTTCCGAGCTTAAGGATCTAGTTGAGAAGTCCCATAATGTTAAGGTAAGTAATATTGGAGTTTTGCATAAAACTGATTTTACAGGCAGATGTATCTGATGAAATCAAGAACTTACTTGCTAGAAGAAGTGAAATAGAGCACAAATTAAAAAAGATAAACTCTCTAATGTATGCAAGCCCGTTAGCTATACTTTTTCTGTAGACCTGATTTCCATAAGTTACAAATAAATGCCGAAAATTCTTCAAGATTGGTGGGCTGTGCTTCAAAACTTGCTCTACAGCTCAGTGGAAAAGTGGAGCAATTAGATTTTGTGAAAGTAATCTTATTGAATTCCTAGTATTTTTCAGAATCATGTTCTTAATTGTGTAGATAAACTTAGTCATATAATTACTGTAAGGAACAGTGCAGTTGGAGTGAAACGATGTCTCATTGACTCTAAATTAGATGAAGTAACTTAGTTGATTATCACAGTTATTTTTAGGCCGCTGGTTACGTGTTTACTTATCTGGAAATGGAGAGAGACATAATTTCTCTTATCTCTCGTCTATCAGCGGGTAAGCCTGTTTTTCACTTTAAAATATCAGCTGTCTAAACCGGTAGTTTTCTCACTGTCCGGGTTCATTCGCTTACATATATAAAGCATATTTTGATGAATTGCTTAAAAAGTGGTTGTGAACTGTTACTTCAACTTCTCTGCTTGTGGTTTTATTGGAAGTAGAGATAGCTTCCCAATAACCTGTAACTACATGCGTAACACGAGATCCTGGTCAGCAAATTATATGAAAGTGGGAAGACTACATGTTTCAGTCATAATGAGGGACCATTTAGAAATATGTCTCGGACAGCCCCTATACTTCATGTCGAAACAAATGAAGGAAGAGCCTAACAACGTGAAAGTAATAGATGCCAAAATAATTGCAGTATTAGCCGAAGTAAGTGACTAAAAGTATCTATATTAAAATCGGAATTTAGAGATAGGTAGGAAATAAATGGATCTATGTTGTTAAGTCCTATTTTGAGCCACGTTTATTCGAGTTCTTCAACTGTTTACCACGATTATCTAGAGGACCTTGATCAAGAATTCAATACCTCTCCCACACAGCTTAGATAGATGATTTCGTGGTCGCTTCTAACCTCTCAACCTACCAGATCGGTTAGCATTGATCAGGATATGACGTAACTGGAGTGTGCATAGCATGTCTCAAAAACTTACAAGTTCAGAATAGTTTAGAAGTCACAGTTCTTTCATTGGTTATGGTATGAAAACTTAGCATACATTGGCTATTTGTTCTCACCACTTACGTTTAACTGCTATATATGTTGATGGTGACGTTTATTGCCAATTTCTTGAAGATTGATGTAATCTAACCGTTGTATCAGTCGAACACTATTCCGTTAAGTAAAAGGAATAAAAAAGTGAAACATTTCCAAATACTTCAATAGTGAATCAGTGGCTTGTTGGTTTAAACATTAAGCTATCGACCAGTGGAGGGTAGGTTTAAACTCCAAATTCTGTGTTTTAAGTATTCGGATATTATCACTAGTCGTCACAAAACATGACTCAAATCCGAGTATGGAGCTTCGTAATTGGCTGATGAGTCACAATATTAATATCATCATTATAAAGTCTAAAGGTGAGAAACTAGACGCATTTAAATGAATGCTCCACGCCTGTCAAATGTATGGTGATGGTCTCAGTCAGTCACAACGTAGAACTTGGTGCGTTTGTATGTCAATTCAAGTTTTAATACCCCATCATCACTGAGAAATGAAATTGTCAGGCCAAATCCCAGAATAGTAGAGGTAGTCACCGTATCAGTGTTAATAGGAAAGATTAGGCACCGAAAATACGATTCAATAGGAAAATATAAATTAGTGAAATAAAACAAGAGATTCATGAGGAATTTAGGGGAAGACAAAGAATGGATGCAACTGCGCCATTGCAGACGATTTTGAGCCATGTCATTTAAAGTCCCTAACTATTGGTTACGATAACCACACGTACCGCAATAAGGTAGTCTATATCTATTAACATCACCAAGTCCAAATGTCAGTGACTTCACGGACTGATGCTATGTTTCGGTTTGGCTGCTCTTAGGTTTCTTCCAGCCTACTCCCACACCTACATACGTAACACGTCTCAACCACCTCACTTGATGAAGATTTACTACCTCATCAATCTATTTGTCATTCCTACCTAGTACCCTTCTTAATTCAGGCATTGCTTATTCTGTGGTCCCAAAATACACGAGCAATGCTTCGAAAATACCTATGATTTGATGCATGTAACCTACGAATATCCTCCATTTTTGATGGCCATGATGGTGATTTGACTAATTGGAAATCAATAGTGTCTAAGGAGTTACGAATGAGTCATAATCAACATATAACTTGACACAAATGTGTTTGAGCCCAGATTAGGATCTCATGGTAGCTCAACAAGATTGTTATAACTGCCCTGTGTCCTGTTGATGTGTAACGTGATGATACCGCCAATTAGAGTACAATGGATTATCGATCGGACCAATCACGCATAAAACATGTACGAGCAGTCCAGAGTCCTTATCGGTCCTGCTTCCTACCTAGCACAGCCTACTAATTTCAGAACACCATCTCAGCCTCTGCGATATAAATCATTTATTTCAAACATACTGCCTTTATATACAGACCAGGCAGACCTCATCGTACCATAAGATAGGAAACAACATCTGTACAAGATTTGGCCAAAAGTGGCTGTGAATGTGGGAGGTAGTAATTGATAGACTGGGTATAACTCAAGAATGATGAATCGTATAATAATTCATAGGTCAAAATATAGCTCATAATAAGAGGGACATGAATACTGAATAGTTTAGTTAATTAATAATTATACGATAAAAATATACGCATAGTATTGGTCCATAAATGGATCCCAAAAGTTGCCATTCATTATTCTTATCGGGATACAAAAAAGATGACATAAACAAAAAGTAGCAAATGAGTCGAAATACTAGTAATATCAATGATAATGAACGGCCAAAATTTCAGAGTATACTTCAAAAACAAGGGGCAAACTAAAGCCATATATATAAAAGCCAATTTGACAGTATATTAATATGAGAAGCCAACATATTGAAACATGTTCGGACGTCAAGCTCCACGAACTAGCTATTACTGAAACAGGCATATGTTACTCAACAAGGTTTTTATTACCCAATAGAACTAAATAGTGATATCAAGATTAAAAGGATAATTAATTAGTTCGTACACCTCCGTACTTTTTTCTATCATTTTAATGGTTTCTATACTGTATTATAAATATAAATTAAAGTTTATTATGGCACAGCCGGAGATGGGTCTAATTAGTAGAAAAAAATTATAATCTTGTTCAAATTGTCACAGTACAGATTTGTGAGAATTTCTACATTTCTCTGTGGTTTATAATCCTGGTATTGATTCAGCTCATCAAACTGCAACACGATTGTACAGTTTAACTTGCCAACATACACATACTATATTTATTCTGATTTTATAAACCCTATCCTCAAATATTACGTGTTATAGTTTCTACTCTTCGATTGAAAATGGTCTCTTATTTGTGATAGTCATATTAATGATGATCTAAAATAATACTTTATAGATAATCCTGATAATAACCCATTGAAAACTCTGGATGACAGTCGACAAATTCTCGTAAAGATGGCAATTGGGAAATTCGATGAATATGTTTCGAAACGGGATGAAAAGAATATAGTACATTTGTTAAAGATATTTTTCTTATTGGGCGAAACCAATGAAGGAATTCGACGATTTTCTACATATCTTTGTTCATACATTTCAAATAAGTGTGAAATATTGATAACTAATTATAAATCATCTTCAAAATCATCTGAATTTGCATCAGCTAATCTAATCACAGAAATTTTAGAGTTTGTTGCGGATACATTAAAAAATAATTCAATGTACGTCGAAACATACTGTGGTAAGTATAAAATGTTTATTGTCATTTAAAGAAACGAGGAGAGTTGTGCTGAAGCTAATTTTTCTGACATTTTCAATGTGAAATGTTTACAAGGCGCAAAAGCATTTTAATGTTAAGAATTTGTAAAATACCGGTTGTTATGGTAGCAAAATATGTTTTATTTTGGTTAACTCGTTTATGATGACACGTAATGATCTTGTGTGATACAGTTATAGTAGATAATTGTGTTGTATTAATACCGGAAAACTATTTGCTTAACCTTTTCAAACACATCAATTTCTTTGTAAGGGTTTGTGTTTCCCTGCTGTTTATATACTGGTGTGCAATTCACTGGTACATTTACATCCTGAGCAAATGCTTCAATATTGCCTTCTAAATTACAAGTCCTCAGTATGCATTCTTTGTAGCCCTGAAATTTCAGTAGGTGGAAAATACAAACCCCTGACCCGTTGGACACATCAGTGGCTATCTGGAATCACTAGTTTGTTGGATAATGCGTTGACTTTTAAGGCGATAGGTACTGAATTGAGGTCTCAGTGTAAGTATTAACACTGATGCTGGTACATCCATCTGACGTGTCCTAAACAGGAGGCAACACACGTCCTATATCCTCCTGCTAACTGCAGTACAAATGTACTGTACATCACTTATTTATTTGAATCCATTTATAACAGGCAGTTTTACGAAGTTATGTATGTGGGGGTAGCTGTAATTAGGTTACGTGGTGTTATTTATTGATTTTCTTATGTTTTTGTTAGGCCCCGGCAACGTATTTGGGTTTGTATCTTCTGTTCATTGTGTCGTTGACCAATACGTCAAGTGTGTAATCGAGCGTTTCTATAATTATCATCATCTTGATGAACTTTGTTCAGTGCTCAAGAAATTAAATAGTAATAGTTTAAACAGTAAAAGACATGATTCATCAGCTCAATCGATCAATAAAGATAAAATATTGGATTCAAACGAATTAGGATCAGATCGCGTATTGATCATTGAGCCTATAATTGTTGAAACGTTACAGATCATTACATGTTCAGAACTTTATTTGAGATTTATACAGAGGCGAATTTCTGTAAGTTATGTTTTATACCTATGAATAATCAATAATAACATTCACAATATTAAGAAGTAAATTTATAAGATCAGTTTTTAATTAAATTGAAATTGAGAAATTTCAATTAAATAATGTTTATTTAGAAATTGCTTTAAACTATGCTTAGATTCATTGTATTAATCTTTTCCAAAAAAAAGAAGTTAATATTGTCATTCTGAGTTTAATTCTTTAAAACATTGCCCCCAAATGCCCTGGTAATGCCGAGAGTGAGGAGAGTTACCTCTCTCGAAATGCTTTCACATGGTCACGCATATACAGCCACTACCAGGGAAGTCCTACTCACTGCCTTCTCGCAGTGGCCTGTTGTTTACGAAATCGAGAGGATAAAAGGAGTGTTTCCAATGCTTTAACCGGGTTGGTGGACATGGAGAGCCCACCTAGGGGGGTTGGAAAACCCTGATTCAAAACCGTTAGTGCTCATGGGCTCCAGTATCCTGAAGGAACAAATGGCGTATGAACCAATCGCCGATCACTGGCTACCATGGAACTGCATGTCCTTAAGATGCTCCAATGCCTTTTGGATCAGACCTTCATGTCGAAGGCTCCAGGTGTGGCCCCCTAAGAACACCACCTGTTTCGGTCTGGGCACCTGGGCAGTATCACAGCCCTCACACATATCAAATGAGATTTGTGTTTCGCATATGTATTTGGTACCTCCTTGTACCAATATCTATGTGTTCAAATAATAATAATAATAATAATAATAATAATAATAATAATAATAATAATAATAATAATAACTTTAAAACATTGTGCATACCTTCGTGAAAACATATTGTACATAAAATATAGATAAATGTAAACAATTATTAATAATAAATATTTTTTGTTATATCTCAATGAGTAGAAAAAACGTATTTCTGACGACATTTCGTGACTCAATGTAAGCCATTCCATCAGATTAAATAAATAACGCAGGGTATTAGGGAATGATGATGGTAAATCAGTTGATGAGGTTGTGAATCTGAGATGATTGAGCCACGTATTACGTATACCTGAACACCGATTACCACGACGCGCAATGCTGACTAGTGTTGGGGATAGTTGGAAGAAAGTTAGGGGTGGCCAAACCAAAATGTGGCATCAGGCCACAACGTCACTAACTTCTAGTCTTAGCCATGTCGGTAGATGCAGACTACTTGGTTGGGTTTTGAGTAACTATCGTAACCAATAGTTGAAGACCGTGTGTGACATGGCTCAGAATCGATCACAATGGTGTAGGTGTATACACTCTCTGTCCTCCCTTAAACTGAGATTAAAATTGCTATATATCTTTCTACGAACTAATCCTTTCTTCCTGTACTATGTCCTTATATGGAATCTTTCTTTTATATATTACCACCATTGAATTTGCTACTTCTATGAATCCACTGTTCATCTTGTTGTGCTGATGCAGTATGGCAACTTGGATTGATGCACATATGTGCCTGTTCCTACGTTGTAGCTGACTGACTGACAGTACACTAGTAAATAAAATATTTCGGAATTAATAAGTATCAGTACTTGCTGATGAAATAACATACAAAATGAATACATGTTCTAGATCTAATTATTTTCATTCAAATTATAAATAACTAATTTGGAATATGCGAAATATATGATTAGTAGTTCAAGAGAGGTCGTTCCAAATAGTTTTAGAAAAGAAACTTAGTAATCTTTAATTATAGGTTTCACATATTTATGGAAGAGTGCTCTATCTTTTACTCATAGTAAAAAACATAAAGATACTTATTATTTATTTAATCACAGACCATGTATATGTAAATATGTGAAGTCGTAATGATGTCTTTTTTCTTCTTCTGTAGGCTGATATCAAACAGTGCAATCTTGCAGAAAATGATTTTAAAAGTACGTAGAATGGCTCGCTCTTTTGTAGTGTTACAGGATAGTAATTAACCTTTGATACTGTATCTTTATAATTTATCGATTAAAATTTTAAATTAACTTATTTATTACTGCCCCCAAATGCTCTGGTATGGCCGAGAGTGGGGTGGGCCCGCCCTCCCTCTCGAAATGCTCTCACACGGCCACGCGTATACAGCCTCTGCCAGGGAAGTCCTACTCACTGCCTCCTCCTGACGAGGGTGTTTTTTACGAAAATGAGAGGACGAAAAGCGAATGTCCGGCGCTTTAACCGGATCCCAAACCAATGGTGCACATAGGCTCCAGTATCTTGCGGGAACAAATGGCGTATGAACCAATCGTAGGTCACCGGCTACCATGGGACTGCATCTCCTCACGATGCTCCACTGACTTGTGGGTTAGACTTTTAGGTCAAAGGCTCGGAGTGTGGCCCCCTAAGATAACCACCTGCTTCGGTCTGGGAACCTGGGCAGTATCACAGCCCACACACAAATAAAATGAAAATGACGATATTAACTGAGAATTCTATTCACGCTTCGATTAACAGTCAAACAATTCACATTATTATTATTATTATTATTATTATTATTATTATTATTATTATCATTATTATTATTATTATTTACTACGTCATTTATTCACTCTTTTATTCCCACTTTATGTATCCTTATTTTTCGACTTATACATCAGCTCGCCTATGGTGGAAAGTCGGTTCTAGCTAAACGTTCTCGAGTCACTGCCTGGTTGAAAATTGTATACTACCACCAAATACGAATACTGAAGCGGTTTTTCTGAAACCACGTCCACCATTCAAACTGGCTGCCTTCAACGTTCGCACATTTATGCAGGTTGGACAACAGATAGGGCTGGCTGTCTTTGGAAAGTCTTAATATCGATGTCTGCTGTCTATCCGAGACCCGTATTCAAGACTCTGGTAAAGTACTACAAATTCGCTCTTCATCTGTCGCTTCGAAAAGCTTGTTTTACGTGCGCTTATCCGGGGACACTGTGGCATATTCGTCTGGTCTGGCCGGCGTTGGTGTTGCACTAAGCGCTAGAGCTGAGGCAGCACTAATCGATTGGATCCCCATTAACAGTCGGTTGGTTATGTGCTGTTAGATTAGAAAGTTCCATCAAAGTGAGGAGAAATCGGGGTGAGAAACGATGTCTTTTCGTCATCTTCATCTATGCCCCGACAGATTGCAGCCCGGATGCAATCAAGGATGAGTTTTACCATCAGTTATCTATTCTTCTCCAGAAAGTGCGTTCGACAGATATTGTAGTACTAGCGGGAGACTTGAATGCTCAGGTCGGGCGTCTAGGCACAGAAGAGGGTCGTTTAGGTGGCCGGTGGGGACTCGTTGGTCGCTGGTCAGATAACGGGGACCGTCTACTGCAACTGTGCACAGACCACAACCTGTTTCTGGCTAGCACTAACTTTCGGCACAGTCGTCGCCAATGTGCCACCTGGCGTCCTCCCTCTGCATCTCAAGCCTGGACTCAGATTGATCACATCGCGATCAGCTATCGCTGGCGTGGTTGTGTACAAGACTGCCGCTCCTTTTGGAGTACCTATCTGGACTCTGACCATGCCATGTTCTGCGTCGGTCTTACCTTACTTTTCAATGGCCAACGAAGTGACCTCCACCAACGGATTGATGTTAGCAAGTTGGTTGCAACTTCTGTTGCAACTAAGTATCGAACCGAGCTTTTTTTCTCTTCCCATTTTCATTGTTTTGTATGGCGCATAAGTATACTTGGTTCACCGTTGTACTAATACTTATGTGTTCAAATAAATAAATGTTTATTACTATTTATACTATACTTTCTGTAATTCTTGAGATTGCATAAGTGATGAGAAAATTTTCTTGTTATTTATAATGTAGTTTAGGAACTTGACTTTTAATCAATTAGTTGTAGGTCATTTTTTCACTTATAGAGGTTTGTAAAACTAAGGGGTTATTTTATTAGCTGAATAATACTCCGCAATATTTGTAAAAAAGCCATAGCTGAATCCCGTACTACTTACGAACGACTGTTGGTATATGATAGCCATACTTGTCCGAAACAATTGCTTACGTGTGTTAAACGGCGAACAAAACGTAGTGATGGCATTCCCCCGTTAATGTTACACAAAATACCAGATTCACCAGCCGAATCAGACTAGGCAAAAGCTGAGATTTTATCAAACTCTTTTAACGGAGTCTACTCTACCCGCATTGTTACAACCCGACCGTAGCTACCATGACGTGGTGGTCGGGCTTGCCTATCGTGATGACCCAACCGAGCTACATTGGCTGGAACATATGTTCCTGTAGGTTCTACCATGCCAGACAGGTCGATTGGAGGACGGCAAGACTAAAAGCAGCAATTCAATATCTGAGGGCGAAGTTGTACTGCTGACTGTAGAGGGATGTGACAGCAGTAAAGTGTTTCCCTCGGACAACCAGCATGACAGCGATGCTATCTTCTCACAAGGAAGAAAGGTTTTAGAAAACGTCAACCCTAAAAATGTCACACCTCACCTTACCTCACGGATTTCCCTCTCTGGCTGTAGGGCCCTCTGAAGAACGGAGCCAACACATTAAAAACCTTCCACGAAAAGGCCGTGCGCGATCGGCCTCAAGCAGTTGTCCCTTGGGCTCTGCGGTCACGCTCCCAGGTCTTTAAGACCAACACTAATCCAATTTCCTTTTCAGGTTCCTCAAGAAATACCCTTCCACGGTGTGGGCGGCCGGGAAGTTTCATCAGCCCTCATACCCGTAACTGCACACGAGACCAAGTTGGTCACATTCAAATCTTTCCTGCACCTCCTAATACCTCTCTTATCTCCATGACTAACTCTCCTCACGTCTCTTTATCACCTCGCACCGCTAGGGCAAACGATTCGAGTACGCGGAACGTTATTCCTGGTCTCCTGAAACCACGCTCTAAACTACACGGAGCTTTTAACGTCCGAACACTTTGCCAAATAGGACAGCAGGCTTCCTTAGCTAAGACTTTAGAATCTCGCGCCATCGATGTGTGTTGCAGCAGATGATGTAAAAGATGAGTTTTACAGAAAGCTCTCCGACCTTCTCCGACAAGCTAGGCGCTTTGATTTAGTAATAGTGGCTGGTGACTTTAATGCTCAAGTAGGTAGACTAAGCGAAAGGGAAAGACACCTGGTTGGATCTTATGGTGTCGTGGCTCAAAGAACAGATAATGGCGACCGTCTGTTGCAGCTATTCTCAGATAACCGCCTGTTCCTTGCAAATACTAACTTTAAGTATAAGGAAAACACCTTTTAACATGGGGACCCATTAATTTGTCTCAACGTTGGACTCAAATAGATCACATCGCTATCAGCCACCGATGTAGGGGTTGGATAGAAGACTCGCTCATTCTGGAACAAGTGCTTAGATTCAGATCATGCTCTAGTACGAGCGCGTATCTGTCTGCGTCTTACTTGACGTAGGAAAGACGTTGCAAGTAAACCTCTTAGGGTGCTACTTAATGATAGTCAAGCTAAGAATATATTTCAGGAAAAACTAGGAAAACAGTTAGGCAGCCATGCAGGTGATGCCCACCCCGAGGCAGCATGGAATGATATCCTTAAAGCTGTGGAAACAGCAGTGATATCTGCTAGTACGGTAACCCGTAAGGTTAGAGAGCAACACTGGATCTCAGCAGCATCTATCGCACTGATAGATGCTCGGAAACTCATTCCACCGACTGTTAGCGAAACACTCAGAGAAAGATGGACATATTATACATTCTCAATCCAAGCCATAGGAAATCTGAAACGAGAGAGAGCAGCAGGCCCTGACAGGTTTACTCCTGAGATTTTTAAGGATAGTGGTTCAGTATTAGCAGTGAGATTAACTGAGGTCTTAGGTAGAATTTGGGAACTGGACGTAATCCCATCTGACTGGTCTCAATCACTGATTGTGGCAGTCTATAAGAAAGGACAAAGGTCCTCTTGTGACAATCACAGATGAATCAGTTTGACAAATATAGTGTCTAAAATATTAGCCTCAATAATACTTGGACGCCTAACTAAAGCTCGTGAAGAACAGACTAGAGAAAATCATGCTGATTTTCGAGGTGGACGTGATTGTATAGGCCAGATATTCACACTACGTCAGGTTCTAGAACACAGACACACGTTCAGACGCCCCACAATGGTAGTATTTCTCGACCTTAAGGCGGCATTCGACTCTGTTGACCGTGAGGTTCTATGGCAGTGTTTGTCACTGAAAGGAGTACCAAAGAAGTACATTAACCTTGTAAAGGCTCTCTACTCGAACACAACTGAACTGGTCGAGTGAGAGCTTATGGCGAACTGTCATCAGAATTGATTACCTCAAGTGGTGTTCGTCAGGGCTGCTCACTCGCTCCATTCTTCAACTTTGTCATGGACGTAGATTGAGAGATAACACTTTCCTCGTCTAAATTTCCAGGGGTTGAGCTTCTACCGGGAGGTCCACTTGTAGATTTAGAATATGCTGATGACATAGTTTTATTTGGTGAAGACGCTGACAAAATGCAGAGTCTTATGACCACTCTAAGCAATAGTGCAAGCATGTTCGGGATGCGATTCTCTCCCTCGAAATGCAAACTGTTGCTTCAGGATTGGATTGCATTGACACCCGAACTAATGATACGGAGTAAAGTAATTGAGCGTGTCGATCGCTTCATTTATCTTGGAAGTTTCATCAGCCCTTGTGGTCTGGTGTGTGACGAAATCTCAGCACGGATACAGAAGGCTCGACTAGCTTTTGCCAACTTGCGTGGGCGAGATATCCGTCTATCAACCGAAGGGCGTGTTTACTGCGCAGCAGTTCGTTCAATCCTACTTTGTGGCAGTGAAATATGGCCGTTAAGAGTAGAGGATATTCGTAAGTTACTAGTATTCGATAATAGGTGTCTTCGAAATATTGCTCGTATATCTTGGGACTATCGAGTAAGTAACGCAGTTGTTAGGAAACGAGTACTAGGTAAGGATGGCAAATCGATTGACGAAGTGGTGAAACTTCATCAGTTGAGATGACTGGGACACGTGTTACGTATGCCAACGACCGACTACCTCGACGTGCTATGTTCAGTGGTATAGGAGTAGATTGGAAGAAAGCTAGGGACGGCCAGACCAAAACATGGCACGAATCTATGAAGTCACTGACAAGTAGACTGAGCCATGTTGGTAGGTGTAGACTACGTGGTTGGGGACCGCGAGATGATAGCAACCTATGGTTAGAGACCCTGAATGACATGGCTCAAAATCGTTTGCAATGGCGCAGGTGCATCCACTCTTAGTGTTCTCCCAAATTTTGATCTCCTTATTCCTCCTTGTCTCTTTTTTTTCTCTTCCCAAATTTATTTCACTGTATTATACTCTTTAAGTAACATCTCCAAACTAATCTTCCCGATTACTGCTTATACTCTTATTACCTCTACCACTACGGGATTTGGATCGACCACTGCATCTCTGTGTTAATGTGGTGTGGCAACTCGAACTGATTTACGTACTTACGAAGTTCTACGTTGTTACTGACTGACTGATATCCACACAAGTTGTTATGATCTTAGTGTATTATCTCGTTGAAACTTACTATATGGATGTAAATGTAGTGTGTTGTTTTACTGATTGAATTCATGAGTCAATTGAAGCTAGACCACCATGGAAAACCTGGAAGCACTCGACAGCCGTCTCGTCCTAGTATGCGACACCTCAGATGTGTGCATCCTCGATCCCGCACTACGCGAGATTCGAACCGAGGACTTGTCAGCGCTTAACCAACTAGACCACTGAGCCGACATCCAACGATGTTAATGTCTAACTTCAACCAATCCACGAAGTTGCGCCACCGTACACCATTGTCTTCAGTGAGTTAATTTCTCACAGCAGACCTGGTTGAACTCCACCGGTAACGGCTTCTCACTAGAACTCCAGCAGTATCTCTTGAATTCAGTCACCACTAGTGAGCAGATGATTATTATCAGAATGGATTTAATTTAGTATCATCTATAGTTTTATTAATTTAGATTAAAATACTAAGATTAAATCAATCCTCTTTTCTTTTTTTTTAAGAAAAAAGTAATGAAATTTCAAAGTTTTTTGAAAATTCTCATCTTGTTTGTCAAGTACAAGATTTACTCAATAAATATCTTAATTTAGAACAATATTATCTTTATGTGACAATGATAAAGGTGAGTTGTTTTCTCCATTATACGATATCTATTGTAAGTGTTTATGGATAAATGACTATATTTTGTATATTTTTATTGAATTCATCTATAATTGTTTAGTAGCTTTCCCACCTTGGAACTGTAAACCTTTGGCACTCATTACTTTAGTTAACTAAACATCTCCACTTCGGTATTCAACAGCAGCTCTAATAACGGTGTATAACTATATGTGGATTCTAAGGAAAGAATATTTATTTACAACTTACTCTCTATGAATTAAAATATGTTTTAAGCAAAGATGGATAGTGGCTAGCAGTGGAATCCAGGACGCGCGTTTCGTCCTGTTTGGGACTCGTCAGCTGGATGTACCTGCATCTCAGAGTTGATGTTCACTCCGGGACTCGAACTCAGTACCGTTCGCTTCAAACGCCATCGCGTTATCCACTTAGCTACTGAGTCCTGATAGCCACTTGCTTGTGCAATGGGTTGAAGTTTAATTCACTTGATAATGGGAAGATTCAAGTAAAACAATATCAAGTGAATTAAAATATGTTTTGTTTCTAAACCTGGTTTTGTTGAGTCGTTGAGGATATCGAACTTTACAATTATGTTTACTTTCGGTTCTGGCGCATATGTAGACTGAATAGAGGATTTTACCTTGAATATTTCAATTCATCGTTCTTGATAGGCTTCAAATCACTTCTGCTTTTGCAGCAGCAACAATAACTACATTTGATCAAATGAAATAGACAATTTTCTTCTGATATACTTGGATTTGTTCAGATGGCGATAACATACTTGGGGATAGTAATCAATCTTAAACTACTAAAATGCATAATCGCTAACTTTACTGTAAAGTTTCTGCTAATGTTGACTAGAAAATTGATAGATGTTTTAATATTACATTATTCTGCTCAATCTAGGGATAAAAATATTGTAGTTGTTATTTAACACCTTTACTAACAGTTCGAACTCGTGATTTCTTCACTGGGTTGTTAGTTTCATTCTAAATAGATGAACATCATTTCTAATCTGGATTTTTTCAATTATTTGTTTTGCAAGGCATTAAATTCAGATGAAGTCGACTCATCTAGTAATATATGGTGCTTTATTGACGATGTGTTTTTCATCACTAAGAAAAGTCTTGTGTAAGTTACAATTTTTTCGTTGTGAAATGTATTAACTTCAATTTAGTAAGGTAACATATCTGTAATGACCCAGCTCTGATGATTTTCTCCAAGCGTCAAGGTCTTAGTAGTGTATTTCATGTTTTCAGGAAATTCAGTTTTCTTAATTGACGGGAATGATTACGCAGTATAAATGTGGCCATTCATTCAATCAACTACCCGTAGTATTGTAGCTTTCTTATATATGGTGTATTGCTTTGTGGACTGTGGATTCTGATGATCAATCACATTGGCTTTCTCCATCCTTCAGTTATTTATCCAATCACTGCATACACTACCGAGTGTCATACGATTCCTATCAGTTTCATGAAAGGATCAAATTAGGAATTTATTGGAAATCTGACGTAAGACGAAACGTTTTGTCTGCCAGCGTTAACCATCTTAATGGATTTTCATAAAATCTGATAAGTCTTGCGAATTGAACGCTGTATTCGTTTCCCAAGCTATTCTGTAACCCCCAAGCTAGAACTATGCAGCAACCTGAACAACGAGGGAGAAGACGCAAAGTATGCGAGAAGTACTTTACTACAAGGTTCATTTTAACACAGAAAATATAGAGTTTTTATAAAATCTTTGAATGTCCTTAGGTTGCTCGAAGATTCTGGAAAGCAGTATAGCAATCAACCAATCAGAACCTCTACATTTGACGTTCCAATTCTTTGATATTTTTGGCTAAAACTTCAAGTGAACGCCGATTGGATGAAACGCTTCTTAGTGTTTCCTGATCCTTGCTTGTCTTTTGCAAGCAATTTTCAGGATCACTCCAACAAAATCATGTTGAAATATATGATCGTTCATCATTAACCATTAAATAATTAATTAATAGTTCGTGTTATATTATGAGGGGCTACTACTTCTTTATATTATTGTATCTCAGTGGTCAAATTTTAACTGCTAATGATTGTTAACATCGTTATTGCATCTGTTATCCGATTGATTTGATTTTGTGACCAGATTCCATTTACTGTAGTATCCATCAGTGGTTTACCAATTTAGTACAAGATCATCTCTTCAGTAATCGGTTTGTACGAATTTCCCCGACGACATTGGTTAGACGACTGATCCACCTAACGAGATGGAAGTCCTCAAGGAACTCCAACTCCTGGAGCGCTACGAGTCGCCAGGCCCAGATCACTTACCTCCGGCTATTTTTAAGGATGGTGGTGACCTTTTGGCTGAGGAACCAAGTTTATTTATTTCTACTATCAAAATACATTGTTTTGAAACCCCCAATCTTAAAAGTAATTATATGTATGGTATAATCAGATACTAGTCAATGATTGAATATTTATTGTAAAAACACCAACTTCAGTCATACTGAAATTATTTTTTCCCTTTTAACAGTCGATCTCTTTCATCTGGTAATGTGGATACTATTTGTGCTATGGTGAATCATAGTTGTTCAATGCTAATTGATCTTATGGTAAATGATTTTCTGGGCAACGTTATTCGTACAGGGTTTCCTTCGGGTTGGGTACAAGATGCATACACTTATGTTCAGAATAGTGTTGCTGTAGGTAAGCTAGATTCCTCTGCTAAGCTTTTAGGAGTCCCATATAACACTTCTTACAAAAAATTGATTTCATAGGAAGTTATGGTTATTTGCCTCTTTATATACAATAAGTTCAATTTATCTCTGCCAAATACCAACATATGAGTGAGTACTTTATATGTATTCATTCTCAAACATTTTACTACAGCGTTACCGAATTACGGGAATTATGTTTTCGTTTAATGAATGGTGGAATCCACAACACACGTTTCTTCCCATCTGGGACTCGTCAACTGGATTAGTCTACATCCTTTTGTTAAAGTTCTCACTGCACCCTGAACTCAGTAGGAACTACTTCAAACTATAAAGCAGTATCCAATCAAACACTAAGTTACGATAGAGACCATTTTTCAAGTACTGCGATATCTTTTTTTTAGTTATAAATGTTTACATTTTACTGTTGTTGATATTCAGAATAAATTAATCAGTGTCTTTTTGTATGTGATCTTCATGATCCGTTATCAGTAATGAGATACAGATCAAGGATTTGTACACCTGAGAACTTTATAAAAATATTATAAAACCTTCATATTTCGTATTGGACTCACTTACTTTAATGCGCAGATCATTCATAAATTTGATTAAAATGTCAAATGCATAAGGTCGGTAATAACTACTTCTCTATGATAGTTATTTATTACTTTCATATCTTACTCCACATTTCTGCAGTTGATTTTATATCTAGATTTTCTAATTCTTCTTGAAAAAAACATGTCTAAAAAAGTGGAGATATATACGTGATAGTTAAGAGCTTTTCACATCCATCTTTTTGCCTGTTGTATCATTTCACTTCAAATAGAAGTGTTGCTTATATTACTGTAAGTCGTTAGTAATAAAGTTAGTCGATGTTTTAGTAAATTGAATCTCACAATTTCATAATTAATTAAAATTTATAATAACTTTTTCGTATGCAATTACCTTTTACCCCCCCCCCTATCTATTTATTCATCTTAGCTGGTTCACTTAGTTCTTCTTCATCCATTGTCAATGTTCCAACAGTATCATCATTTAATATGATTGGACCTAATGCACTTACAAGATATCATTTTCTAATTACTCTTAATAGTATTGAAGCATCTCAAAAAGATTTATTGTCACTTGTTAATCATCTTGAAAGTGAATTAAATTTACTTTATCAAAATCAAGAAATCAATTCACAAAAACTTAATGTATGTTCTAACTTTTTCTTATTAGTTTAAGTATTTTTAATAATGTACATTTTGTTTTCAATTCATCTAATTAAATCATTTACTTAGATGTGATATTTTAACAGAATTTTTATCGCTGCTATGTATCTATGTATATTCCCATTTTTATCATTTAATGAAACAATAAATAGTCAATTCCACTTTTGATTAGACTATAGTGCTTTAGCTTATAGGTTCAATATTTAATAGTGGGATCTGATAATAAGTAATAAGTAGGCCATTAACTAGCATTCTCCATCCAACTCTTTCCTCGACAATCGTTTCCAGTTATTATTAGTGCTTTTGATGCCTGCTTCCAATTCTCTATGCAATATGTTCTTTGGCCTTCCGCTTTTCTGTTTCCCTTCAGGATTCTAAGTTGGCGCTTGCCTTGTGATTGGGATCCGTGCGACTGTCGTAACCAGTGGTTAATGACTGGGTGAAATCGTTCAGAATTGTTCTCATTGATTAATTCAAGTACATTCACTCTTTGTCTTCCATTAAGTCTTAAGTTTCCTAATTACCTTGGAAATATTTTATCCCATGAATGCACACTTTGCCTAATTTTTTCTATTACTAACAATACTGTTACGAATTAAAATACTGTAATATCTCTCTGTCCTGGTGTGGTGTAGAAACTTGAACCAATGTACATATTTGTCATGTTCTACGTTGCTTATTATACTGACCATTGAAACTGTTCCCAAAGAAGTACGAGCTTATTACAAACATTTTGGAGTTGCACCAGCTTACTGGATACGGTGAGTTGTCAAATCATGAATCCAAACTGGTAGTATACATGATCTCCAATATCCAGAAAGCTTTTTAATCACATACTTCTTTCTATATGAAATCCTAAGTTACTCGCCTTCCCTAGTGATAAAATGTTCACAAAGCAATTTTGAATTGTAAAGAGTGTCAAATAATTGTAGTAATTAATTTGAAACAATATCAAAGAATAGTATATCCTGGATTCCTCTTCTATTTACTGCTATTTAATATCATTACGTTGAATATCATATTTCATTCCTTATAATTCTCATTTCCTTTGTTGTCTCTATCGGATTGATTTATGCATGTTTTTCTCTTTTTTTTTTCTCTCATCTAATTTAAGATGTGTATCACGGAATTAAAAGTTTCTATCTCAGATCAACTTCAAGCATTACTTGATTCTGCATTCGAGTATCTTTCAACTAGTGTTATTCAAAGTCAAGTAAAAACTTTGTTAAATGTTTTCAAATCATTGAAATATGATTTAATTGAGGTAAGAGTATAAAGCATAATTTAGTTTTATTTTCTTCTATAATCACTATAATCTATTTATCCCTTATATACTTCCATTCCCAGTGACAGAAAAAAATAAAAGTTTCCTTTATCAATATTGTAAATTTATTATTCTTAATGTGTGTGCTAAATTGGGATTGGTTGTTAAGACGTTCAAACATCATAAACTCACTACCGGGTACTTGACTTCAAACCATAATTCAAGTGAGGGCTAGTGATATGACCTAGTTGCCCAGACCGAGTTTTTTTTAAGGCTGGGCTCAGAATTGCAACCCAATAGCTGAAAGCCAAATCTCTTAACCAGTTAACTACCGTTTCAGACAACGTCCTTTTTATTTGCTCTTACGTCGTAGTTATCGTTTTTACTAATACTTCGTCTATATTGTCTTCGTGATAGTGTGGAATATTTTGGCTGGTAGAATATTTCGTCATATGTTATTTTTTACTACTCCACAAGTGTTTTAAAAGTTTTAGACTATTAAGGTCTTATAGCTTTGATGTTTTTATCTTGAACATAGGTTATAGTTACCAAGGGAAACAATGGTTTTACTTACGTAATCAACGTATAACTACTATCATAGAATTTCTAGTAGAATAGTACCGACTGTATATTTCCATTTCTCTGCCTGCAAATCTTGATTCACTGTCTTTGTTGTACAGATTCATTAGTCCCTAAGCTAGTTACAAAGAATTTTTTCTGTGGTAAATGATGATAACCTGGCTCACGTCTAATAAAGTTGTATGAATTCTCTTCAGTTTGTAAGTTTACTTTGTTGCAAGAAATTGTATGTAGAAGAGAATGTGAACTAATGATCAAAATAGCTTCAATTTTCCAATTTGTATGGACATTTTACAATAACCGGATACATTGCTAACAGTTATGAATTGAAGAGAGATGTAGATCTTTACTTAGTGAATATGAATGAGGTTCGTGTGGTTATGTACCAGTGAGAAGGCCTGTGATATTTATGTAGTTATTACAAGTATATTACTTATGAGTACCTACCAATTTATCGCGCAATATTCCTGCCCGTGATTTATGTTTTACTGCCAACCTAATTTCTTATCGTTGATAATGTACTTATTGTTCAATCTGTTATACTACTTTGGTCATTTTCTTTATTGTGTACTGAAAGTATTGATACTAATTTCATCACCTTGAATATCAGTTTGTAACCTTAACCTAAGGACAGTTTCAACTCACGACATGATAACTGATCAATAACCTCGTGTCACATGTACCATTCTTATAATAATAATAATAACAACAATAAATGTGATAGGGATCGTTTATTAGATTCTTAATGACATGAATTTTTTCAGTTATTTAATTATATTGATAAGATAACAATATTTATTTGGTGAAACCATTTTCATGATATGATTTCCTCCGTTTAATTTCAATTTTATTTCAGGAGGATCTAGATGTTTTCGCTGCTAATGATCGATGGATTGAATCATGTATAGCTCATACAGAAGATTTTCTCAAACCATTTAGGGTATTCAAATTTCATATTGTAGTTATTACTTTTTTTTATAATTATGTCATTTCTATCACTGTAGTTATAGAATTTGGTTAATACACAAATTTACATAAATCGTTTTTATTTCATGTGCTATTGTTTTTTACAAGAATGATTTGATAATAATTCTGGGAAAATTAATTATAACTAAATTATATATAACTGACTAGCATACACCTTGACTACATAATTGTTCACTTTGACAACTATTTACTTACTTCTTACTTACTTCCGCCTGTTACTCCCAATGGAGCATAGGCCGCTGACCAGCATTCTCCAACCCACTCTGTCCTGGGCCTTCTTTTCTAGTTCCATCCAATTCTTGTTCATTCTTCTCATGTCTATCTCCATTTCCCAACGTAATGTGTTCTTTGGTCTTCCTCTTTTCCTTTCGCCTTGAGGATTCCATGTGAGGGCTTGCCTTGTGACGCAGTTGGATACTCTCCTCAATCTGTGTCCTACATCACTTCCAGCGCTTCTTCCTCCATATGGAATCTGGTTTATTATCTCCCACAGTATATTGTTGTTGATACTGTCTGGCCAATCGATCCGAAGTATTTTACGTAGACAACTGTTAATAAACACTTGTATCTTCTTGATGATGGATTTCGTAGTTCTCCAGGTTCCCGCCCCATACAGCAGAACTGTCTTGACATTTGTATTGAAAATCCTGACCTTGGTGTTGGTTGACAGTTGTTTTGAGTTCCAGATGTTCCTCAGTTGTAAATATACTGCTCTTGCTTTGCCGATCTGCATCAGATCCACCCTGTTCATCAATGATGCTGCCCAGATATGTAAAGGTTTTTACATCTTCCAAATCTTCTCCGTCAATTGTGATTGGATTGGTGCATTCTGTTTTGTATCTGAGAATCTTGCTTCTCCCTTTATGTATATTGAGACCTACTGCTGCTGAGGCTGCTGCCACACTGTTTGTCTTCTCCTGCATCTGTTGTTGCGTTTGGGATAGAAGGGCCAGATCGTCTGCGAAGTCTAGATCATCCAACTGCATCTTAGATGTCCATTGTATCCTGCGCTTTCCTTCAGACGTTGACGTCTTCATGATCCAGTCGATCACCAGGAGAAAGAGAAAGGGTGAGAGTAAGCAACCTTGCCTAACACCGGTCTTCACTTCGAACGACTTTGTCAACTGTCCTCCATGCACAATTTTGCAGTGTAATCCATCATATGAGTTCTGTATGACATTGACTATCTTCTGGGGCACGCCGTAGTGTCGAATAAGTTTCCATAGTGTTGTTCTGTCCACGCTATCAAATGCCTTTTCGTAGTCAATGAAGTTGATGTAGAGTGATGAATTCCATTCAATTGATTGTTTTTGTTTTGATTTGTTCAAATTCAGCATTCATCATTTCATAACTAAATTATTCTGTTGTGTTTTGTTTCATAAAGAGATATGTTTACCAAATTAGCATTAACTGGTGCTCTTATTTTGTTTTGCTTTATTATTATTATTATTATTCCAAAGTGATCATCCATGATACTAAATGGATTGAAGAATAAGATCTTTAGTACTCATGACGTCAGCGACATATTCACCAAATTTGTTTCGTACACTTTAGCTACCATCTTTATTGATTTTATGATTTCAGAGTTATCTCAACTATTCACTTTATTAGTATAAAATGATGTATATCTGTATGTAAAATACAGAATTTTGAAAGACTCAATAAGTTTCATTGACTTAAAAGTATTGACAGGTTTACTCCTGAGATTTTTAAGGATAGTGGTTCAGTATTAGCAGTGAGATTAACTGAGGTCTTAGGTAGAATTTGGGAACTGGACGTAATCCCATCTGACTGGTCTCAATCACTGATTGTGGCAGTCTATAAGAAAGGACAAAGGTCCTCTTGTGACAATCACAGATGAATCAGTTTGACAAATATAGTGTCTAAAATATTAGCCTCAATAATACTTGGACGCCTAACTAAAGCTCGTGAAGAACAGACTAGAGAAAATCATGCTGATTTTCGAGGTGGACGTGATTGTATAGGCCAGATATTCACACTACGTCAGGTTCTAGAACACAGACACACGTTCAGACGCCCCACAATGGTAGTATTTCTCGACCTTAAGGCGGCATTCGACTCTGTTGACCGTGAGGTTCTATGGCAGTGTTTGTCACTGAAAGGAGTACCAGAGAAGTACATTAACCTTGTAAAGGCTCTCTACTCGAACACAACTGAACTGGTCGAGTGAGAGCTTATGGTGAACTGTCATCAGAATTGATTACCTCAAGTGGTGTTCGTCAGGGCTGCTCACTCGCTCCATTCTTCAACTTTGTCGTGGACGTAGATTGAGAGATAACACTTTCCTCGTCTAAATTTCCAGGGGTTGAACTTCTACCGGGAGGTCCACTTGTTGACTTAGAATATGCTGATGACATAGTTTTATTTGGTGAAGACGGTGACAAAACGCAGAGTCTTATGACCACTCTAAGCAACCGATGGTTAGAGACCCTGAATGACATGGCTCAAAATCGTTTGCAATGGCGCAGGTGCATACACTCTTAGTGTTCTCCCAAATTTTGATCTCCTTATTCCTCCTTGTCTCTTTTTTTCTCTTCCCAAATTTATTTCACTGTATTATACTCTTTAAATAACATCTCCAAACCCTAAATTTTCTGATTGCAGCTTATAATTTTACTACATCTAGCACTAAGGAATTTGAATCGATCACTGCATCTCTGTGCTAATGTGGTGTGGCAACTCGAACTGATGTACGTACGTACGAAGTTCTACGTTGTTACTGACTGACTTAAAAGTGTATGTTCATAGTTCTTATTATTTTATTGCCTATAATTTATATCTATTATCTTCTAATTAGTCAGTCAGTCAATCAGTCAGCTCCAACATAGGACCAGGCACATATATGCATCGGTCCTAGTTGCCATACCTCATTAACACAACAAGATGGACACCGGATTCATAAAAGTAGTTAATTCAGAGGTGATAATATATAAAAGAAAGATTGCAATAAGGATATAGTACAGGAAGAAAGAATTAGTTGGTAGAAAGAAAGATATAAAGCGATTTTAATCTCATAGTTTAAGGGAAGACAGAGACTGTATAAAGCTACGACATTGTGATCGATTCTGAGCCATGTCACCAAGAGTCTCCAACCATTGGTTACGGTAGTCACACGGACCCCAACCAAGTAGTCTGCATCTACCAACATGACTAAGACTAGAAGTTAGTGACGTTGTGGACTGGTGCCACGTTTTGGTTTGGTCTTCTAGTTAGTGACCCTTTATCACGAAAAGTATTACTAATTAGAAGAGTACTTTTCGTGATAAAGGATCATGACTTCAAATAATCTGTATATGCTTCCGAATGATTTTTGTATAGTAAAGATTAAATGTTTTGATTAAAATGTACAATAATGAGTAGCTACTTATTATTATTATTATTCAATGAATTGTTTGTTTCTTTTGTTTGTATTCTTATTTATAGTCTGTTCTGTCAACTGAGAATAACGATCGATTTGTATTAATTCTCATCAATGAAATTTTGCATCAACTTGATCAATTTATTCAAAGGAAATCTTTCAGTAGAGTAAGTCACTATGGAATATTTCTATTTTAATGTTCAGTTTTGTTTCTATGCCGTTTTTTTCCTCTCCTTCTTCTTCTTCTTCTTCTTTCATACTGAATTTTTATTGAATCTTTTTTTTCTTCACTTTTTTATTTCAAAATAGTTTGGAGCTATTCAACTAGAAAAAGAATATCGTAATTTGTTTGCATATTTGACATCAATATCTTACAGCTCTTTGCGTGATTATTTTACGCGTAGTTTACAAATTTGTAGACTTTTAAACTTGGATCGAGTAAGTTCAGAATTATTTCCCTATTAGTTTAAATATCTTAATTATTATTATTATTATTATTATTATTATTATTATTATTATTATTATTATTATTATTGAATAAGTATCTATAGAAGAATTCCAGATTACAAATGAATCTTCTGAGTAAACTTATTTTGATTTTAAGAAATGTAGAAAAAAATATTTGTTTGAATAGATCACCTACTCAGGAAAAGTGTACATTTTTTAAGCTTCGAGATTAGTCTCAGGTACTTACTTACCTTACTTACGCCTGTTACTCCTTGTGAAGGAATATAGGCCGCTCACCAGCATTTGTTATCCAACCCTGTCCTGAGCAATCCTTTCCAGCTCCTTCAACTATTGTGATCTAACGAAGAAAAACTTATCACAGTCTTTTTTTTCTCAGCATTGATAATGTTGTTTAGTTTCCTGTTATCCTAAAAGTTCAATTATAAGAAATAGATCAGTCCATTTTTGTTTGTTATACTTTTGTTTTCAATGTGTTTGTGGTTTTCCAGATTGAAGAAGTACATTATTATTGGAATAGTTCTAATTGGCGTCTTACTGCACATGAAGTCAGAAGTATTCTATCTCTAAGGTTAGTTTCAATTATATATATATATTAAGAGGCTTGATAACTTCTTATTCCTTTGATTTTAAGGGATTATTCTGTACTAGATAAGCTGATTTAACATAATTGAATTGGTAAAAGTAGGTTAATCAGTCAACGTGGTCTTCTATCTGTGTCTTTTAAAGCAAACAGGGTATTCGTTAGATGATTTTCTAGCCCGTTGACCCATCATCATTCGGATTATGAAAATTCGAACCTATGACATAGTAACTTCATGGACTGATAAGAATTTTTGGTTTGAGCTTCTTAACCGTCTTCTAACCTGCTACAATTCTGTTCATTATTAGATATGGGCGTAAGCATTGACTAAAGTAAGCGTTAACATATGTGGTAGTCTTATTTCATCGAATTACCACTCGCTTTTAGGACCTTACGCTTAACTACAACAATATTGACTCTGTTGTTCTAACCTACGTTAATGTCACATAGAAGGCATTTGTGATGGAATAATTTGAGTAATTTTTTCTGGTTAGCGTTTTTTTAGCGAGTTAGTTTTCTAAGGGATGGGGTCGCTAACCCCATGCCCAACCCTCCTCCTTCATCCGGACTTCAGACTGGCAGTAGCCCCTGGAGGGACTCCAGACGGAGTTTGTGATGGAATACGTGAAACCTATACGTGTCCAGTTTAAGTAGCGGTCACTTTCAGTATCAGTTAGTTTTTTATTGATATCTTCCATAAGCTTTTTTCAGGCTTACTATATATATATATATAAATTCTATTTTAATATTTCTTATTCAATCTATTTTACAGACGTGATTTTGCTGTAAATGAAATTCGTGCACTTAAACTACAATGATCTTACGTTTTGTCAGTTGTTCTCCTTTCTTTTTTTCTCTAAATGTTTTCGTTTTGTTTTTCTAATTTTTACAATCTAATAAAATTTATGGGATATCTCAACTGTTGTTACCATAGAATTGGTTAGTTTTTACAAATTTGATAGAGTTGAATTAGAGGTTTTCTTTTTTCAGTTATGAATTCTTCAAATTCGGCAACAAAATTGACCAACTATTCATATTAATATTATTCATGAATTTATGATCAACACAAATGGAAAATTTAGAATTACATTAGTTGATAATAATTGAATTACAATAATTGTGAGTACGGTACAAAACATTGACTGGTCAAACAATGTCAAATCGTTTCATAGAAGTCATAAGCGAACCAGTTAACGGAGTGTTAGTTTTATTGATGAATATAAAAGTGATTTATGCATGAAACGACCTGATGATCTTTCGAAATCCTACTGACAGTGATGATATTAATTAAGACACGAAAAGCAAACACTCGAATAATTTCATCTTTGTCATACAACAGAATTAGTTAACTACTTCTAGTGGATTCTCTTTGTATCCTTTCTTTCTCTTAGATATACATATACATATATATAATCGAATATAAGGAAATTTCTAGAAATACTAGAACAAGGTCAATCGGGCCAGTTTAGCTACAGTGCTTCATTTTTATTCTGACCATCAAAAAAACGGATTATTGTATATGACATTGCTATGGTAATTATGACTGATGTGTTTACGAAAGCTAAAGTGATTTAAAAGTGTTTCATAAAATTGTAACTAAATTATGTTTACCACAGGCTTACAGCTAAATCGTGCTGAAACTCAAGTATTTTAGTGGATACACTCTACTTTGTATTATCTAATGATCGTTGAGAAATATGTATCTTTATTCGTTTCAGTGTTTTATAAAACAATACAAGATGAAATTGCCTAGAAAATAAATGATTCGCACGAGTCAGTCTATGGTTGCATTTCCATATATATTCAGTTTGAGCATAACAAAACGGTTCCTCGAATTGAAGACAGTCACGCTCGTTGATTAGATATTCCATATTTTATTGGAGGATCAATAGTCTTTTTTACAAAATGCTTTAGGTATTATGGTTTGTGTAATTTGTAGACGATATTCGTGAATTATTGACCGCATTGGCTTACTTTGAAATAAATTGGTAAGTCTCCGTTGTGAAATCGTCACCGGTTGGACTCAACTAGCTTGGGATTGATGCAGTCGTCAACAAAAAGATTAAATGATCGTATCAATGTTTTTGGTACTAAATGATGTTAGATTTGGTATATTGTCGAACCCCCTCCTAGTTGTCTAATAGCTAAGTGCTCTCTTCGAGATATATGATCAACCTGTAACGAAAATATTTTAGACTATTAAATTATGGTGAGATTTGATCAAATGTTCTTCAGGGCAGTATGAACATTGCTGTATATTAGAGTAAAACCTATTTAGGGTCTAATTTAAAACAAAACCGTTTGGTTGTGTGTTCTAACTTTCACTACCGAAATTTTGTATATATATATATATATATATATATATATATATATATATATACCTCGAACCTTTTTTACACTGGAAATAGCATGTTTATTGTCATATAACACTCAGTACTCGGTTTATTCACAGTGATGTCTCTATTTAATTTATTTTTTATAAACACAAACATTATTCCAAAGAGGCATCAACTATATATGCGTTACATTTTGTCATTCGATTTGTGTGAGGGCTGGGATACTGCCCAGGCGCCCAAACCGGAGCAGGTGGTTTTCTTAGAAGGACATACCCCAAACCTTTGAACTTAAGGTCTAATTCACAAGGCAGTGGAGCAGCGTTAGGAGATGCAGTCCCGTTGTAGCCGGTGATTAATAGGTTCATACACCATTCATTTTCTCCTGAAGGCTATATGGAACATTGATTTGGAGTCAGGGTTTGCCAACTCCCTTAAGTGGACCCGCCAACCCGGTTAAAGCGCGGATGTTCACTTCTCATTTTCTCGATTTCGTAAACAACACCCTCCATTACGAAAAGGTAGTGAGTAGGATTTCCCTGACTAGCTGTATATGTGTGGCCATGTAAAAGCATTTCAAGAGAGAGCGAACTCGACCGTACTAAGGTATTTGGCTGTTCTGCAGTCTATAGGACATTATATGTGGTGTGGCAAGTCAGATGACAGTTGATCCGAAATAATTAATTAAACGATCACCACAAGCAACAACGTCTTTCGAATACATCAAGTGAAGTCGCTAACGCGTAGACGAATTTATAGCGTATTTAAATTTAATTCCGTGAACTATCTCATATTTTCTGACTTCTAGAAATCTGCGAGACATTAATTTGTATTGCATAGCCTTCCTCCCGAGATCTTCAGTTATTCCTAATCATAATAAATGAGCGAAGCAGAAGTGGTTTTGCTAATTTCAACCCCATACTGAAGAAGGTTGGACATTTGTTCAGCAACCTCATCCCATAGAAAACAACCTTTCTAAAAAAAAACTAACCAGCATAAACAATTTAGACCATTTCAACTGTGTTCTCCAAGTTGAAGCATCTTTATTCAAAAGAGTTATGGAGCCTCATGATGTAAGCTGAGATTCTTCGGAAGTCACAAAACCGAATGATAGAATAGAATTAACACTAAAGAACATCAAAGTAACATATTTTATACACAGTGGATGGATTTAATTTTTTCGTTGTTGTAAACTTGTTTTTATACACTAAGAACATGGAATGATGCAAATAAACAGAGATTCGGAAACATTTTTGTATTGTACAATCATCAGGCATATAAATTCATATATTCAATCTCGTTAGTAACGAACGAAATAGAAACATAATTCTTTTTTGTTTTTTTTGTTGAGAAGAAAATGTTTTTGTCATAGATTTTTTCTTCACACTTTCACTCAAATCAATAATGATATCACGTTTTATTCATTACATTTTGAAAATAAAAAAAATGTATCTTGTACACTATAGAACGATTAGGGTATTTTTCCAAACTATTCAAATTATTGATCGAAATCAATAAGATTATAATTTGATTTTCTTCAAAGGATAGTAATATCTAATAATTGAGTTGTTGCTACCTTGACCGCTGCTAGTATCTGGTACTGCTTCATTCCACATTAAGAATTATGCTTACCATTCTTATGGGAAACTACTGAATGATCAAGATATCTATAATATGCGGTACAAAGTGTTCTCACAGGCGAACATTCCTGGTAAGCCATTTGCCAATTTATAATGTAAACGATAGGTGATTACGGGAAATTGAAAGCGCACATAACATCTTTGGGTGGGCGATGCGAATACGAATTAGACGATGAGAACTGTCTATCGTACTTTTCCTTCAGCACTGGTGATCAAAAGATTTTTGCTGACCGTTTCGGTGATGTTATTGGTTTGGACGGAACATACAAGACGAATAACGAGAATATCTATTTATATCAGGTCGTAGCCCTTGATATGAATTTGAAGGCGATACCCGTTTGTATTGCATGATTCCATGCGCTGCTCCTGTACATTTTCCATTGAAAACGGTTTGCCATGTCGGCACATATTGGCTTACTGTACACACAGTATGACTGATGTGAACTTACAGTCGACTAACTTTACAACGCCGTTGATGCATCGAGGAAATGTCGATTTGGATGAAACGTTAAGTAACGACGAGGATGACGTAGTTTCTATAAACTCAGAAGAGTTAACAGAACGGGACATCCAAAATGAAGAAGATGAAGAGAACCGTTTGTGTGACATCTGTAATCTTGCACAGCCGCCCTATGAAACTGGTGATGAAGTGGGTTGGGTTTTCTGTCCTTGTGAAGCTATGTTTCATAGATTCTGTGCTTATGACCCATCACCGAACGTACGAGCAGTACACTGTCCGATGTGTGGCGCCATTACCAACTAATAGTTTGGACGTCCCACCGCGAGAACGATTAAAGGCCCTTTTCAGGGCCACCCACAAATTGATTTAAAGGCATTTTTCCCAATATTGTTTTTGTCTTTGGCAAAGGTCAAGTGATTAAGCACTTTTTAATGTTGAATGCATTTAGATATACCTTAGATATTAATAATCGATAAGCGATTATCGCTCATGTATTCGTAAACTTGTTTCTAATGTATAATACATATAAAGGTTAAGAAAGCAGACAAGATTTTGTCATTTTATGAACACTTATCTAATAATTTTAGATGTAAAATAATGTGATTACCGTTCATGTCTTAGTAACACAGTTGTAAACTATCTATTACTAGTACATTTTAATAGGAATATTTTAAAATAGTGAAAATCGTTATTTTGTCGTTAGGTGAATAAATTTATTAGTGAATATAATAAGATAGTTACAAAGATGAATGTGATTAAAGCTCATAGAGAAGTAAACAAAATTGAGAAAAATATCTTCCTTATGAATAAGATACTGACATTATAAAACAAGTTGAAGCCGTCATCATTGAAATTAGTAATCCGATTAAAAGGTCATATAGTAAGTGTTAAAAGAAATGAGAATATTATCCGTTTCATGAATACAAAATGCAAGAATTTCATATTCCAGTTTTATATTAATAGTACCTGAAACCAGAACTAAGCGTACGTATGAATTACGTCCGATCGTCAACTAAGCCGTTATTGTTATTCATAACCACTGATTATATCAACGTATTCATTTGCACACCCATATAACTATTAATTACTGGTACAATCACACTATACAGTTATAAGTCCATAATTTCCATATTTTATAAAGGCCAAAAATATATCATGGCATTAATGAATTTGACAATGTAATGTATTAACAATGGTGAACGTTTACATCTGTTACGACATATATATATATATATATATATATATATATATATATATATATATATATATATATATATATAAATTACAAATTGTAACATTTGCAAATTAGAAAGGTCATTCAATAAAGGTCTGGATTATTTGCAGTACAGTGTTCAGTCACAATAAGTGGAAGAGCATTATAGGAAAATTGAAAATGCAAAAACAATGTGTCAATGAAATACATAGTATGAGAATTGAATCTTGTCAATCGACATAATAATAATAATAGTAATAATAATAATAATAATAATAATAATAATAATAATAATAATAATAATAATAATAAGGAAAATAAATAAGAATAGCATTGTAAATGTTCATTGATACAGTTGACCTTATTCATATTTATACGTTTAAAGACGATAGATATTTGTTGAGTCAGTCAGACGACGTAGGCTTGTTCATTTACACTTTATGAAACTGATATTTCAAATGCTTGTCAAAAATGGTTACATTCATAATGTCTAGATCTAGTTCAGGTTTCATATTACGGCGGTTAACAATATTCACACATGACTGATTAAACACACACTAGTTTTTTATTACGACCAAAAAATTAATTTTAAATTACAGAACTACAAATAATTTACAAGTGAACACAATAAACCGTGTTTCAATGGACTTTTAAAATTAACCACATTGAAATCTAACGTTTTCTAATTCTCATTAAGAATGACCATTTACAAAATAAACGTTCACTAAATATGAAGTGCCTATTTCGGTTAAATTTATTACTACTTTCATGTACTGTTAAAGTCAGTGCATTAAATCATGGTCTTCGGTTGCTTAACCTGAATTATACATATTGCAACCAGTAAGTTATTATGATGAATTATTGATATGTTGATTTGTTTCTCTGATTAGCAGACCATGTGCTACTAAAAAACTTATGTACACACTTCGGTAATAATTTGTTTATTAATTGGGTATTCAGCATTAGACAATCGACCGAATTCAGTAATCACTATTATCAAACAGTCAAACCGATTTTCAGTTCCTTTTTCACTCAACTGTCTTTTAATGTGATACATATCAGTATTCGTGGCAAGATAACTAACGACTTCAATTAAAGGTTGACATTAAATCACTTGATCGGAAAACAAAAATTTATCCCAACACACATTCACTAACAGTAAGATCGCACTTAAGTTGGTGTTTTTTTCTTAAAATGTCTAAATTTCTTGCAAGACTAAGATTACACAAAAAAAATTGTTCATTATCGTTAAATTCCAAATGTAAAAATCAAAATTCTGACATCCAATCACAACTCTAGATACGATTTCAATTTCAACTAATCACATTGCAAAGATGAACAGTTTACGACCAATTACAAAATTATTAAAGGTGACAAAATGTTTGTTCATTATCACTTGAGCACACACTTGCAAAACAAGTACACCAATCACCGATCGCTAAATTTTTCTTTGACACCATACATTTTTTTATAAATGGGTGGTACGGAATCTTAATTGCCGTGGGCAAAATGTCAACCTTCAAAGTGTGATCACATATTGTGATGTGCGTACTTATATACACATAAGTAGTATATAGCGATTCAGGAATACAATATATTTCAGTAGAAGATCGAGAAGGAAAGGACGGGAACGGAACGAGATTGGTACGAATATGCAGGAACCATGAAATCTGAGACGATGGATTAATATTTGCAAAAGAAACAGCCAAGTTTGAGACGATTGATATTTTACAAATTAACTACTAACTGTATTGTTCTCAGATTTTAGTAAGATGTTCTGTAGTTACGTCCGTTAAGTAATGTCAAAGATATCTTGGATCAATGAATTGAGCACTTTAATACCATAAATCGAAATGCAAATTAGTGTAACAAACTTGACAGAAAAGTGCCGAATTTATCAGTCTGTAAAAATTTTCATTCCTGTTCACTTGTCTAATTAATTTCTGAATAGTATCAGAAGGGGTTCTGCGGAGGTTCTAGTAGTTTCAATAGTTGGGATCATGAGTCAATTGAAGGTAGACCACCATGGAAAACCTGGAAGAACTGGACTGCCGTTTCGTTCTATTTTGAGACTGCTCAGCAGTGGTCTAGTGGTTAAGCGCTCGTGAGCAGGTCATGAGTTCGAATCTCGCGAGGCGGAGTCTTGGATGTACACTGCTAAGGAGTCCCAAAATAGGACGAAACAGCCATCCAGTTCTTCCAAGTTTTCCACGGTGGTCTAGCTTCATTTGACTCATGATCTCAACCCACAGAATTATTATCTCAAGTAATCCATTTAAAAGAGGAAATACTTCAAAAAACATATAACCTTATTATATAGGATTCTGTAATGATGATCATGTTAAAGTAATGATCCTTTTCAACTAGTTTTACATAAAAAAGTAATTGTGACAAATTTAATTACAAATAAATTACATGGAATAATAATAAATAGAGAAATGTAAAGCAGAAATAGGATCATTCGATGTGAATAGGTCACCATTTGAAATTAAAAACTAACTATCCGTTCTCTAAGAATATACGTGGTTGTAGTCAAATCAACATCGATCAATATACATTAAACTGAAATACAATAGAGAAACAAAATGATTAGAATGTTAACTCTCTTTCACTTTTGTTTTCAAGTTGTTTCCATACAAGTTGTAGTTTGATTGTGTTTGTTTTTATATTGCTGCCCCCCCTGAAATATTGTTACTATCAATTTTATGATCTTTACTTTTATTATGTTTAATATTTGATCTTTCCGTAGTTACTAAACGATAAGTAAATTCAATGAGTTCAACAAGAAATGCTGCAGTTAATCCAATACTTAATGAACATAAACCACCAATACGACTAAGTAATACACTAATACTTAATACTAATTTCTCTTGACTAACACGTACATCACCAGCACGACGTTTCAGAACAACATAAGCAAAATTATCACCTTGAAGATTTAAATCATTGATTGCATTGGCAGAAATCTAAAGAGAAAAATCATAGAAAATAATAACAAGTGTATCAAGAAGTAGTTTTGTGCCTGTAATTGAATACACTAGAAATCTATAAAAGCAGAAGTACTAAGTTATACGATTATGTTAAACAGTCTAACTTGTAAAAGAGATGTGTTGTTGTTGTTGATGATGGTGATGTATATCAAGTTTTATAGAATCACGGATGACTGTAAGTTGAACAAAAGTTCACACTATGATGATTGAATTGTGAAAGTCATTTTATGTCACCTACAATGCAAATGTAAAAGATTCTACTGTTTAATCTAGATCTACATATCTACTGTCTACTATCATTATTTTCATATACTTATGACCGGGAGTATTTTCTATTGAGATAGAATAATAAATGGATTAACTATACAACAATATTCAGAGGATCAATCATACATCAAAGATTGAAATTTTTAAGAAATGAACTAATCATTTATATAGTGAATTTGTTTTAAGATTTACATCGATTATCATAATGACGATCCTAGCTTAGCCTTTAATGACTGTAAGAGTTTGATGGTTTCCACCTTGAGTTTCTTAAGAGTTGTTCTACTTTTCGCTTCTTTAATTTGTTCATAAGGCCCCCCTCTTGTAGATTTCCATGTAGTTGAATTTTTTATATGAATTGTAGTTAACTGACTCATTTTATCCCTATTTTGTACAAAAAATCAACATCCAAATATGATTGGTTTAACACAGTATAATTCTGATAGTTTAAAAAGCTATATATTTCCTTTGATGATTTTGAATTTGATTATTACACTGAAGAAGTCCAGACAAGTTAACTGGACGAAACGTTGGAATTATTCAAAGTTCAATCGCTGAGATTATCTCAAATATAATTTTCACACATAATCACCTATATAGTGAATTCGTTTAAAGATTTACATTGATCATCATCCTTTAATTTGTTTACTATGAAACAAATTACTTTTAATCCTTATTGAAGTACCAATCAGATGGTGGAGAAGATTTGTAGCTCATCGTTGATGAAAGTTTCTCGTTCAAACCATCCAGCTCAGAGAACAAAACTCCATCAATACCAGTCAGATATTGTATATGAAAATGTTTCAGTGTTGCATTAAATCGTTAGTGAAAATACATCAAGTTAATAAACTGTAAAACATGAACGGGTCTTATCTCTAATTTTGCTATTGAGCTTTGATAGAATTTTTGAAGTAAACTTTATTATTCACATTGGTTATCGTTGAATTAATGCACCTTTCGAATAACAGGGATTTTGAATTACATCACCTGGTCTCTATAATGATTACAATACCGGGTAAATAACCCCATAAAGTTGGTTCAATGTGACCAGTAATACTAAGATAATTATTATGGCATGTAATTAGTGTTACTATTTTTAATTGAAAGAGGAGATTTCGTAATGTAACAACACGTTATTTTACAAGAAACGTAAAGTATAGTTGAAAATCTTCCATGTATGTGTCGGTATACATTATTTAAAATTGTGCTGTGTGCTACTTATATTGACATAAGTAGTATATGATGTTAATCGTGAACAGAATGTCTGGCATCAGCGAGACAATTCGTATGAAAATGCTGGAACAATGAAGTCTGAGTCATTATGAGACAACTGATGGACATTTTGCAAATTAAGCATTTACTTTATGATTGTTAGATTTTATTCACAAGTCCTGTAGTGTTGTGTTAAGTACATCCGATTGTACCCATCCGTGTTCTGTTCACTACAAAATTAAGTAAATACTATACGATGTATCTCGAAAAGTATCGGTAAATTGATTCAGATGTTTTCAAATATAATCCGTTGCTGACAGTGCGATCTCACAAAAATTATATTCCATACCACAAAGTCACATGCTACTGTATCTAGTCAAAACTACTGATCCATTTATTAAATCCTATTGTAAACATATCCACTTAGTGGTGCGGGATCGTGGATGCGCACTGCTGAGGAGTCCCATACTAGGACGAAACGGCCGTCTAGTGTTTCCAGGTTTTCAATGGTGGTCTAGCTTCAATTGACTCATGATTTCAATCTGTGAAAATTTCTAAAAATCTCCACAAACCCCTTCTGATAATATCCATTTAGTGTTACAATTCAAACAATCCCCTGAAAAAAGATACTAGAAATAATAACAATATTAAGGGATGAAAAAGCGAAACCGAACTTTCATTAGTCGTGATTTTTAATCAACATTACTTCCATTTGTTTAATTCCATATGATCATTAGTCAGAGCAATATTTGTTCTTTCTAAACAAAGATGGATAGTGGTCAACAGTGGAAGTAAGGACCGGAGTCAGACAAGGCTGTCTCTCTTTCCTTCACGAGGAGTAATAAGTAAGTAAGTAAGTAAGTAAGTAAGTAAGTAAGTAAGTAAGTAAGTAAGTAAGTAAGTAAGTAAGTAAGTAAGTAAGTAAGTAAGTAAGTAAGTAAGTAAGTAAGTAAGTAAGTAAGTAAGTAAGTAATTAAGTAAGTAAGTAAGTAAATGTTTACAATAATCTCTTTGTTTGCACTACGTAACTCACCTCATATTCAGTTTTGAAAATGTATGCGCATATGTAAAGCATAACTTACATTTATGTTGTATTTTAATTGTAGATATTCCTTCCTTCCTTCTTCTATTATTATCATTTTAGCTATCATTATCATTCCTTGAAAATAGTAAGACAACAATAGCTCATTTTCTACACTAAACTAATTGCACAGTAACATACCACATATCATAAAATGTTTGAGAAATACTAACTAATGAACGCGACTTAATCTTACAGAATGGACTTAAATTAGAGGGTTCATGAGTTACAAATTACTTGTCAGTTGACTATCGACTTTCCCATCGAATCATCAACGATTGGAGTTCATTACCTCAGAACATGGTTAAGGCTCCATCCGTCGACTCTTTCAAAAGAAAGTTGGATCAACTGAGAGACTACTATTACCAGGACTAACACAGGCTATCAAGCCCTTTGTCCTTTCCAAACTGAAACTGGAACTAATCAGACAATCCTTAGAAATTTGATACTAACTTACATTAGTTAGATTGTCTTTTTCGTAATATTCCTTCCATCGATGAAAACCGTTACTTTGAGTTATATTCCAATCTTCTCCATTAATTTTCACATCATATTGCATTGATTTAAATGCTCTATTTAATTGTCTAAGCCAATGTAATTGCCAGTCAACAGCTCTCCATGTTGTAACTGATATAGTACTTTCATATGTATAATATCGACATCTTGGATGACACAGAGTTGATTCATACTGACTTCTAACTGTTACATTTAAAGGACCACTTGTAAGACATTGAATACGTTTAGCTAATGCTAATATATCAAAATCACCTCCTAGTATTGAACCACAATATGGAAGATTATTTGAAGGGTATTTTGGTCTTGGATTATATATATACTGACATCCACATTCTTTGATAATATCTTCTTGTTGATGAAATAATATACACTGAGATTGAGTGTATCTATAAGATACATTTAAATCATTATAAGCGTATGCAAAATCTAATCCAGTTAATCGAGATAATTTATGATCAGTAATACTAGCCAATTCTGGATTACGATCAATAAACTCTTCACGGCATGGATTTTGTGGTGTATTAAGTCGTTTCCATAAAACTGGTTGATAATTGATTTCATTTAACTTTCCTGGTTCAACATGTAATCCTTCACGTTCTAAATCTGGATATGTACCAGGTTCATGTACAACAACACTAAAAATTAAGATATTTATAAAATTATTTGTAAAATAAAATTTTGTTACCAAGATATTCATTATATAATGAACTGTTTCTGTTTGATATAAATTAAATGATTACTATAAAAATTGTCATCACATTAGCGGAATAATATATGAATGAAGAATATTCTTATTAATAAATACTCTTCGGATTCTACAATTTATATTACTTACTTACTAACGGCTGTTACTCCCAATGGAGCATAGGCCACCGACCACCATTCTACAACACACTCTGTCCTCGACCTTCCTTTCTAGTTCTATACAATTTTCGTTCATTTTCTCATGTCTGTCTCCATTTCTCGGTGTAATGTGTTCTTTAGTTTTCCTCTTCTCCTTTATTCAGTCTTGAGGATTATATATGACGGTGAGGGCTTGTGATGCAGTTCGGTGCTTTCCTCAATGTATGTCCTATCCATTTCTAGTGCTTCTTCCTGATTTCTACCTGAGCTAGAATCTGGTTTGTTCTCTCCCACAACAGGTTGTTGCTGACCAACAGATCCGAAGTATATTGCGTAGACAACTGTTATTAAACACTTGTATTTTCTGGATGATGTCTTTCGTAGTTGTCCAGGTTTCCACCTCATACAGTAGAACTGTCTTAACATTTGTATTGAAAATCCTGACCTTGGTGTTGGTTGACAGCTGCTTTGAGTTCCAGATGTCTTTCAGTTGTAAATATGCTGCTCTTACTTTTCCGATCCGCACATTCACATCTGCATCAGATTCACCGTGTTCATCAATGATGCTGCTCAGATATGTGAAGGTTTTTCCATCTTCTGAATCTCCTCCGTCAAGTGTGATTCGATATGTGCATGTTGTGTTGTATCGGAGAATCTTGCTTTTCCCTTATTCAGTTACACTAAAAGATCTTTTATAGTATCATTCGATCCTAATCGGAATCATGTTTGTCATTTTGATGTAGTTGATTATGCATCGTATCGTATTTTCAAAATCGTCAAAACTACAAAGCGATTATTTAAACACAGAATAACTTCAATGAAAACTAGTTTTTTCTCCAATATACACTAATCAGTTTCGAAAGATCTTAAATTCTGCTTTATTCCCAGTCAATTACAAACTTGTTCAATCTATTACAACATACATACGAATAGCGGTCGTCATATATTTAAACGCAACTTATCCTTAAAAACTAAACAAGGTAATAAAGATATAAAATGAATATATAAATTCACTGAGTGTTGTTTACTTGTATACTTCCATTGTTATTTAGAATTGCAATTGATCAGTCTCATCTGGACATATGTACATCCTGTACGGATTGCCTCGATATAACCTTAAGTCATAAGCTTTTTAATCAAAGATGGATAGTGGCTAGCAGTAGAATCCAGGATGCGCGTCTCACCCTGTTTTGGAACTCGCCAGCTGAATTTACATGCATCTCAGAGTTGATAATCACTCTGAGACTGGAACACAGTACCGTTATCTTCAAACGCTATCGCGTTATCCACTTAGTTACTGAGTCCTGATAACTGTTATATCCCGATAAGAATAATGAATGGTAATTTTTGGGATCCATTTATGGACCAATACTATGAGTATATTTTCATCGTGTAATTGTTATGTAACTAAACTATTCATATTCGTGTCCCTCTTATCATAAGCTTTATTTTGACCTATGAACTATTATTATACGATTTACCATTCTTGAATTATGCCCTGTCTATTAATTACTACCTCCCTCAATCATAGCCACATTTAGCTAGATCTTGTACAAATGTTGTTTCATATTTTATTGATACGATGTGGTCTGTCTGGTTGGTATATAAACCCAGAATGTTTGAAATAAATGATTCATATTGCAGAGGCTGAGATTGGTCTTCTGGACTCAACTGGCTGGGCTATACGGAAAGCAGGATCAATCAGGAGTCTAGGCTTCTCACACGTGTTTTATTTGTTACCGATTCGATCGATAATTTGCTGCTCTCTGATTGGCGGTATCGTTGCATTATACAATAACAGGGCACATAGATTCACAAGTTATAACAATAACCACCTACTTGTGCAATGGGATGATGTTGAAATTCACATCGTACAGCTAAAAACAATATTTATGAAGCGTGTTATATTTTGTTTGGAGATTAAAAATGCATTTAGTTCGTTAGTATGAACAATTCTCTAAATTTTTACAAATAAGAGAACGAACAGAGCTGTTGATGAGAGGTCGATTCATTCCATCCAGATGTTCACTATGATATTGAATGAACCTAATTTGAGCATTATTATTTAATACGATTACATATCTTCGTATTATACGAAATTCCTATTAGTCCATTTCACCGACATTAGTAATAATTCAATAGACTTGATTCTCTTCAATAAATTAAACGCATTATGCAATTTTTCAACGTACTACATCTTTAAGCAAACTCTGGAGGATGTAGAATCCTTCACATACCTGGAAAGCATCATCGATGAACAAGGAGGATCAGATGCAGACGTAAAGGCGAGGATTGGAAAAGCAAGGGCTGAATCCCTACAATTGAAGAACATATGGAACTCAAAAGAGATATCTGCCAATCAATATGAAAGTCACAATCTTCAATACGAACGTCAACACAGTTAGTTCTATTGTACGGAGCTGAAACTTCGAGAACTAATACGACCATCATAAAGAAAGTACACGTATTTATAAATGGTTGTCTACACAAGGTACTCAACATTCACTGGCCGGATACCATCAGCAACAGCCTTCTGTGGGCGAGAACAAACGAGCTTCCAGCTGAGGAAGACATTAGGAAAGGACGATAGAAATGGATAGCACATACACTAGGCAAATCACAAAACTGTATCACGAGTTAAGCCCTAACTTGGAATCCTGAAGTGAAGCCGAAAAGAGGAAGGCCGAAGAACACAATACGTTGGGAAATAGAAGCAGATGTAAAAAGGATGAATAACAACTGGAAAGGGCTGTAAAGGATTGCGCAGGACAGGGTTGGATGGCTAGTGGTGGTGGTCGGCCTATGCTCCTTCACGAGGATTAACAGGCGTAAGTTAGTACATCTTTAAGCAGTTACAATAGGCAACATTTATTAACCTTGCTGAGACAATAGTTCTTTCAAAACAATTTGTCGATGACATCTTATCAATTCATGAACCCTAATTTCTTTTTAATGTTCTTTTTCCATATTGGTTACGGTATGGATTCTGCAAATTATTTTCAGAATATTCTAGTGACGTCAATTTTGACGTCATTTCTCGTATAAGATTATCGACTTAAGTCGCGTTAGTGAATAACGGAATTAAATAAGCCAAACACGAGAATGAATTCTGAATACATATATTTTGTACACTCGTTGATCGGAACAGGCAATCAGAGAATCGCAGCGAATGAAGTGAATGTTAGAGAGTTAAGGAAAAATAACGCGCGGTGGAGAAAGTGTGTGATCGAGCTCCCATTTACTCAAGCGTTAATCGATATTTATAACCAGATAAAAATAAGTTACAGACATGTGATGAATAGATTAAGAAGTGTACATACACATACGCTCATATAAAAACAGTGATGGTTGAGAAGTGAATAACTAACAACGTCAATAAGTGACTCCAGAAGAATGGATAAATTGGCCTACCCAGAATCTAGCCCCTGAATGCCCCGGTACGGCCGAGAGTGGGGAGAGTCCGCTCTCCCTCTCGAAATACTCTCACACGGCCACGCGTATACAGCCTCTGCCAGGGAAGTCCTACTCATTGCCTTCTCGTGGCGGGGGTGTTGTTTACGAAAATGAGAGGACGAAAAGCGAATGTCCGGCGCTTTAACCGGATTCCAAATCAATGGTGCACATGGGCTCCAGTATCCTGCGGGAACAAATGACGTATGAACCAATCGTTGGTCACCGGCTACCATGTGGCTGCATCTCCTTACGATGATCCACTGCCTTGTGGGTTAGACCTTTAGGTCAAAGGCTCAGGGAGTGGCCCCCTAAGATAACCACCTGCTTCGGTTTGGGCATCCGGGCAGTATCACAGCCCACACACAAACTGATGAACTCTTTATGCCTATGGAAATTACCTTTCTCGCTTTGAAAAACAAACAATTGATTCAGATTATTATCATTACAATTATTGTCATTATTAATACTATTATTATTATTACTGCTATTATTGTCATTATTATTATTATTATTATTATTATTATTATTGTTATTATTATTATTTTCCACATTATTCACCCTCTTTTATACTTATACAGCGGCTCGTCTTTGGTGGAAATTCGACTGTATCTAAACGTTCTCGAGTCACTGTCCGGTTGAAAATTGTATGTTACCACCGAATATGAGTACTGAAGCAGTTTTTCTGAAACCACGTGCACCATTCAAACTGGCTGCCTTCAACGTTCGCACATTTATGCAGGTTGGACAACAGATAGGGCTGGCTATGTCTTTGGAAAGTCTTAATATTGATGTTTGTTGTCTATCCGAGACCCGTATTCAAGACCATGGCGAAGTACTACAAATTCGATCTCCATCTGTCGCTTCGAAAAGCTTGTTTTACGTGCGCTTATCCGGGGACCCTGTGGCATCTTCGTCTGGTCTTGCTGGCGTTGGTGTCGCACTGAGCGCTAGAGCTGAGGCAGCACTAATCGATTGGATCCCCATTAACAGTCGGTTGGTTATGTGCTGTTAGATTAGAAAGTTCCATCAAAGTGAGAAGAAATCGGCGTGAGGAACGATGTCTTTTCGTCATCTCCGCCTATGCCCCGACAGATTGCAGCCCGGATGCAATCAAGGATGAGTTTTACCATCAGTTATCTGTTCTTCTCCAGAAAGTGCGTTCGACAGATATTGTAGTACTAGCGGGAGACTTGAATGCTCAGGTCGGGCGTCTAGGCACAGAAGAGGGTCGTTTAAGTGGCCGATGGGGACTCGTTGGTCGCAGGTCAGATAACGGGGACCGTCTACTGCAACTGTGCACAGACCACAACCTGTTTCTGGCTAGCACTAACTTTCGGCA